GGAGTCGACCGTTCGCTCCGGACCACCTACGGGCTACGTGAACTCGGCCCTTTGAAAAGTGTTAATGTCCTGCCTCGCCAATACTCTCGCCTATAGGGATTCGGGCCCAGAGTAGACACGCATGCTCAAATTTTTGCGGCACGAAAGTGGCATCCCACCTCTGGCTCACGTAGCTCCCACTTACCACCGTTAAAAGCTGTGGTATGCGCCGTCCTCTAACTGTATACAACATAGGACGTTATAGCGTGGTGGCGCCGTCGCTCCAATTCGAGTACTACCATCATTAAACATCAAGGCTTTTACAAATCGAATAAGAAACACCAAAACGACCGTAATACATTCACTACTAGGCGCGTCGGGGTGAGCCAATAGTTCACCATACCGCCGGTTCTTCCCGCTGGAAAAGCATTTTGTAGAAAGACCACTTTTTAAGGGGCTCTAAGCTTCAAAATGTGAGAAGCCACTGATGTCGAATTTCCCACCCAAAGCAATAAAGCAAGTATTTTTCGCTGTCACAATCGTCTACTTCAGCCGTAGCTGTGTGAGCTGATAAAATAAGAGATACGCTTCAGTCATCACCACATCGCTATAGTGTACCTCCTTGATCTGAAAAGATGTTGGATAAGCTAGTGAACATGAAAAGTGAACGACATTTCTCGAAAAGGATGGCAGTAGTAACAAACCTGGTGGTCGTCACATCGATACCATTTGTTCTGATTTCGTCGGACGTAGCTAATATAATGTCCAGCGCCGGACGAATCACCAATGTGCGTCACAATAGCGAATAATGAGTAACTGAAACAAATCAAAACACTTCAACTAGAAAGGCGGCGCTGAGCTCTCGAAATGTTTAGTTCTACCTCCAAGAATAACATTATTCTTTCATTTTTTTCTCTAAACGGTGGTCAAGATTCGAAGGCTGCTCCCGCTTCTATCTCTCCAACAATCCCAAATGTGTCGCATTCTCGTGGACGAGGAATTGTTCAACTTTTGCGACAACGCTCGTTCCATATTTGTAGCCGTGTACAATGGAGCTATTTCGCAGCAAGGCTGTGAGTAGAGAACACACAAAAACGTGAATGAAAAAAATCTTTTCAGCAATGTTCAATGCGTAGAAATTACCCATGTGTATGTTATTGTTAATCGAAAGGATGGGTCAAGTGGGCAATGAAGAGCATTGAATCTCGTATGTGGAAACTTTTGCGAATCCGAATGAGCCAGAGAGAAGGATCATATATTGGCTAATGACAATTACGAATTATTGTGTGGTCACAGCCATTACATCCAACCAATCGAAGCTTACGCCTCTGGCAAAAATAAAATGAGTATCACATGGATGCAATAGGTCTATATCCGTGCAGACTTTTAGAACTTCATTTTTAAGAGCTTTTCTGCAACCTGATGAAGAGCGCTTATTTTTGTGGGAAAGACGTCGTAAAAGTTACAACGACTGACGACAGCGTGACGCGGTAACGCGTCCACTTTGCGCACTCGTGGGACATTGTGACGCGGTAACGCGTCCCACCCAAGTCATCCCTTTTTCTTGCGCTTGTGCGACTTATTCCTAAGGTCTTTGTACTCATTCTATAGGTCATACATTAGCATACTTAAAAACCACATGGCTCACAGAAAGGTCAAATATTCTTTAGTTTGGCAGACATTTTCCAGACCTTACGGATATGTCTGTTCATTCATTCCTCGTTTTCTTTTCAATAACGTAGACATGTTGATAAAAAGGAATAATAGAAGAATACAAACCCTATTCGAATGGGAAGGTATGTGTTTTTACTTTAACAACCACGTCCAATTAATTTTGGAACCACTAAAGGAAATTAAGTAAAATTTCCTTTTCATGGCCTTAACACGTCATTTCGGTCAAACTTCCATTACTGTACTGTAACTCCTGATAAGCTAGACAGATCGAACATCATTGAAAACATTTCATCGCATCTAAGTATTGCGGATTTACAACTTAAAATCCATGGATTTGGTGTGCGGCGGCTGCGCTCGCAAAATCGCTCTTGTCCCACGAGGTGCAAAAGCAAAAACGCGCGACGTCAATCAACT